TCTTTTTAAGGGGATCCTAAAATGAAGAACCCGAACTCCGATGAGATCGCTATTTTAATAAATAAAATGCTGTACATTGATATATCTTTATATATACCTCATACTTTATATATAATCCCTACAAAATACTCGCATGGTGTGCGTATAAGTGCGAGTACTCGCACGTGCGTGACCCTTTTATAACATAGAGACCGTCTAATAAGATATGAGCTAATTTGATCGACTTTTGTATGCAAGGTAGTAGTTTTAGTAAAATTTATAACAGAAAGAGAAATATATTGTCTTATATAATCTTAACGCGTATCTAAATTAATCTTAAATCTAAACTGCGGTGACGGAACACGATTTACTATCATAACAATGTTGTGTATGTACAGTACGTGTAACAAATATGATGGTAAATTGATGGCGATGCACAATAATTTGTAAAATAAATGTTAAAAATAAAAAAAAAATTTATTTCTTCTTCACATACTAGAGACTAGAGTATCGATTGTATATCTTGAAACATGTCACATAACTGAGTGAATTTATTAGGTAAATTTATAAGGGAAGTATAAATGAAATTGTTAAATATTACAATGAACTTGTTCACTTTTGTAATTTTAACTTTGTTTTAAGATATACATTCACATCTTTAAATTTTTAAAATAATTTTGTAAAAAAGAAGTTTGAAACTAAACAATTCTCTTCTCGCATGCATTATTCGACATGTAATGTACAAAAATTTTTATTTGTTAATATCTTTTAATCTAATTTTAATTATATTCTTGAAATTTAAAAGTGCCACGAATATAGATACACTAATATAGAGCGGGAATTCCTAAAACATGGTAGATCAATCAACGCATGATTTTTTCATGTTGTGATTCTTATTATAGAAGATCTCTATTATAAAGCAATTCAATCCTCATTTGTGATATGAGCCTCAATTCCAGAAAATACGTGTTTGCTCACTGATCTGGTTACATGCTATTTATAACAACCTTACTATTAATGAAAAATAAATACTATCCCATAAAAAAAATAATTAAATAAATATTTAACTTAATTTTTATGAAGAATTTTTATTGACCAAATTATGGACCTCTCTGGTTTTTCAGAAACAATGAATCTATATATAAGTAACTTAACTGATTCCAAATTACTACAATAATAAAAATCTTTTACAAAACTTAATTGGAACAATCAAATTTTAAACAAATAGTTAATTTAAATAACTTATTATAGATTAATTTTTATATTGAAATTAATTACAAGTAAAATTTACAAAAATTGATTTTAGAATAAATTATGTTAACAACATAAATTGTTATTGTTAATAACAATTATTATAAAATAATGATCGAATTAGTTATCTTTTTGGATAAACTTCCAAAAATGCCCCATTAATAACTCAATTAGAAATGATAATGGAATCGACATCGAATCGACGTGGGAATGCCCAAAAATTAGTAAAAATCGTTAATTATTTACAATTATGCAAGTAGTCTGCGCTTTTATCGCTTAATTATTAGAATTCAAAAGAGGAACTACTTTTTTTCTCATTCAGCATATGAGATTAAATGAAAAAAGAAGATCATTTTGATGTCCGTTTAATATTAAGCGTATCTCGAGATTGTTGGATGAGAGTCATAAGAAATGCCGACAATTACAAAATTATTGATATATGCAATCACGTTCTTTACAATGCTGTTTCGACTGTTATCCTGAATGTGTACTACACTCTCAAATATCATTAGTATGCATGGGAAAACTTTTCATATAGGAATGCACGATGGCGCATATGCATCATCTGAGCTTTAACCCGTTCAGTTATTACTGATGAGCTATACACTAGAACATTTCGTCCTGAAAGGCAGCTATCGCTAATATCCTTGCAAATTACAATCTCGCGTGCCCTACCTTACTTCAAGTTTTTCCATTAAACTCATCAAATAAAATTATCGGACCTAAAACATGCAGGAGACAATGTATTCTAAGAAATGCTTGTTACGTTACTTTCTTGTTTCCGTCAATTGCATCTATTCTCCCTGCTCCGAGATGACTGTGGATCTACAAAGATGGCCGTAATTGTATCGTGAAACGTAAGTCGTAGTCGTAGATTAACAAACAATATTTTAGTTGATCTACGACTTATGTTTCACGTCTCAGTTACGACCATTTTTGTGCTTAGACCCTGTCGCGGAAATGAACAAAACGATTTTCATAAGGTTCCAAATAAAATAACACATAAAATTAAAGTTAAAAACTACTTTCGCGCACAGAAGGAAGATGAGTAAAAGTAATGAATTGCATTAAAGTTATATTTTATTGATATTTCATTAAAAAAATTCTGAAATAATTTTACACACATATATATATATATATATGTTACCATATATATATGTTACGTAATAAATTATGTAATCATTTAGATATAATATGCCATTTAATATTTTTTTTTCTTTGTCGTATTTTTTTTGTATAAAGAAAAAAATCTTTCTCTTGTAGAAAGAAAAGTGTAACGACGAAACAACTGAATATTATATTTATATGCTTCTTTTTCTTTTTCTTCTCTCTCTCTCCCTTTCTCTCTAATACAGAAACTTTATCAGACTTATCTTTATTAAAGATTCAAAACTGTTGTGCAGTGTGTCAGGATTAAAAAATAGAAAACATCCATTTTTACAAACTTCGACCAAAAACGTTTTATCAAGAGACATTGTTGAGGTCGATCTTTACTTTAATCTATGAAAGTGACATGGCAAAATGAAGTCCACTCTGATATATAACGCGACTTCACGGCTCATCCGGCGGAAAGCTACGGAACAGTGAGAACCATTAAACAGTCTTGAGTCGAGATAATGTCTCGACAAAAGCGAAAAGGTCGAGGCATGAGAATAGCAAGCGAGAAAACTATTTGGTCTCGCGCAAAGCGCAATTCAGGGGAACGTCGCGCGACCCGATGCAACAAGTTGCGAATGCAACGAAGCGCATCGCACACCCTTCTCTCTTCTCACGATTATCGAGTAAAAGCGCACAACAAACAACTGACGAAAGTCCTTGGAGACTTAACGGGAAGATTAACATGAAGCGAGATCGCTCTCGATAGATTTTCAAAGCAGAGACCGCAATTACACCGTAGACATTGTAAATATTCCTTTTGCCGCGTTTCTTCATAAAGAAATTCTTCGAACAAGATTCCGGTTTTTCTTGGCAGTTTTTCCGTCAGAAATTGAGTGCTACATAGAAAAAAATGTTTGGTTGAATTAACTAGAATTCTAGTGGAAAATGAACGATCCAGAACTCTAATTAAATCTACAAAATTTCTGGTTAAATCTATTAAAATTCTAATTGAAATAATCAATAAGATCATTTAATAGATTTAATCAGAAATCTAATAGACAACCAAAATTCTGGATCGTTCATTTTCCATCAGAATTCCAATAAATTCAACCAAACATTTGTTTCCGTGTATTCCTTTTTGTCAGAAATTGAGTACTGCTTAGAGTTTCATTAAATTGTATCATTAATTGTCTTAAGAAGAAATAGCGTTTATATATTTTATAAAGATTATTTCAATCTTTTCTAGTTATCAATTAGTTTGTAATTAATTAGTAATTTTCAAGCATTCAATAATATTTAATTAGTAATAATAGTTAAATACTGAATAATAAATTTAATTACCTTTACTGAATTTTCGAAAACTGATAAATTTTTTGTAATTTTGAAAAATAATGATATTAATAAATAACAAAGGCAGGTAACTTAATTGTATTAAAATTAGGATAGTCTCATGCATTTTATCACTCATTACATTCATTTTAACGTAACGGACGTGTTTTAACGAAATTAATTACGTACCAATAGTGCATGTAAAGTCGAATAAAATTTAATTTCTACATATAATGTGGAATTGTCGAAATTGACAGCTAAACAGACTGTCGAACATAGCGCTTGTTCGCCTTGTTGTTTAAAATTATAATGATCGGCAGGGTGAATATACGCCTGTTGCACGCGCTTGTTGCAAATTAAAGCATACAAGCGGACATTAAATAATATCCTATTTAATTATAAAGCTTAACAATTTATCTTTAAAGGTTTTACGCAGTAAAAAAAGTTTATATGTATAACGCAACAAAAATGGGATGTTTTTATTTTTATAGGTGATTTCCTTTGATCACCCTTCAAGCTATTAATTTTAGTAAAATGATTTAAAAAATCTTTTTATGCAACATTTGCATGAATTGCTTGTAATATTATTTATGTAAAAATTATTGCTGTATCAATGCTCTGTAATTAGCTTTATATTTTACAATACTGAACACTGTTACACATTGTTGCTTACCAAAAGCAAAATTTATTTTGAAATTTTATTGTTCAATCTCTTTGCTATGCTTGCATTAAAATTTTATGGCACAAAATGGAAAGATATTACAAATCCATTTATACGCCTACATAAAATGTGATTTTAAGCGCTGAATTTTATGTGTTATAAAACCAATATTATTTTTCCATAATGTACATATTTTTGCACAATAAGAAACTCTATTATAAAATATCGATTATATTCAAAATTTCTAACTGCGACTTTTTTTTACTTTTTTCATGTAACTTTTTGATATAAGTAAGTAATAAAGCACGAAATGCTAGCAAAAGACATGCAATAACGCAGATTCAATAATATATGTCAATAATCTGATATGTTGCAACAATTGTTAAATTTTATTATCGTATAATCACATATTATAATTATAAAATATAAAAGTTAATCATTAAATTATATTTAAAAAAATAAAAATTTTCTTCTTCAGCCGTTATAAAACTAAATATCATACACAAACTACCTTTACAAGTTTCACGAATATAACATTAAATACTGATATATTCATGATCAATTAAAAAATATTTTACGGTGAAATAGCACGCGGGGAATGGTATTTCACTGTAAAATATAATAAACTAATATAAAAAACTGAAATTGCAATTGTGATACGTAAATGAAGTGTATACTTTACCTGAATGGGTCCTGCCACCGCATAAGCGACCACGCCAATAAAAACGATCACGATCGATGAACCGGAAAATGCCATTATGCCGTTGAGTTTAGTCCACGATGCGTAGTACCGATCGATATCGAGGACTCGTTCTTCAGAAAGAAACTAATCAACCGCAGTTTCTTCAGACTCGTGATGCACACGTCGTGAAAAACGTGTGGAGTGCCCCGAGTTTCGTGCTTCCATGGAATATATAGAGGGCTGCGCTTTCCCCTGTTCAGGAAGGGGTGCAAACGTCGCGCAGACGCGGCATGTCACAGGTCTTCGTCGATGATTAGATACATTTGTCATTTTATGACGCGAAATTCGATACATATATCGATAGCAATAGACCCAAGTATTCTCTGCATCGAAAGCGAGAGATTAAAACTATAACGGGCAAAGATCACATTGCATAAGATGCATACACAAAATCAATTTTATAATTGTTCGTGAAAACGAAAATGTGATAACTGAAAGACGAAATAAGTTTTCCTTATCAAAATTACATGAGTAGTTTTTATCGGGTTTGTGTAAAATAAATTAGATCATTATTTAAACTTTGACAAATTTAATAAATCTTAAATTAATATTTTTTTTATTCGTCTTTCCGTCTTTTAAAAATATAAAGATTGCATAGCAGTAATTTAGCAGATTTGCTATTTTACTATCAATGTAATAATATACTTCAATAAACTTGTTATAATTCGAGTGAACGATATTCTTTTTCTTTATCATGCTACTAGCTATCTCAATAATCTTAATGCTACACATTTTTACGGTCTAGACAGAATAAATGGATAATAAACGTTTAATCCATCAAATCAGACATATGTCTTCTGACCATTAGCAATTTTTGTTAAATAAAGTATAAGTACTTTTCGATAACGCATCAATCTCTGATGTTGTATCAAAATGGCTTTGCCATTTGAACTATTATAAAAGAAGATTAATATCGGAAGATAAGCGTAAGATATATACAGGTTAATATCACTCAAAGTAATATCACTTAAAAGCGAGATGATCAGGTCTTCGAAGCAGCTAAGATCTATTGGTCTTTACTCTTTACTTCAAGAACAAAATTTTTAATAATACTCGAGCGAAATTTTTTAATGTATTTCTTTCAGTTAAAAGTCACATCAAAATTAAAGGAATCACCCAAAGAGATCATTATTGCTTTCTAACATTATGTTAATTTTCGAATATTTAATTACTTCATATAAACACGGAATATTATAAAATTTGGATAAAAAATTAATTGGATTCATCAATATAAAAATATTCTTAATATTATTTGTGTATGATTCTTGAAGTATAATATAATGTATATAATATAACATTGAGTCTTTTTTTCTCTCTCTCTCTTCTTTTTTTATAAAAATTAAAAGTAGAATATTTATAAATTTTGCAGAAATTTTAAATCATGAATAAATTTCCAATACAAATTGTAATTGATTTTGAATAAAAAAATAAAATCTGATTAATAGACGAACAAATTTTTTATACTCAATCTTATATTTAACACTTACATTTATCGAAATCCTTTAATAATAATCTTTTTTTTATCTGCAATTTCATCAGTCAATTAATGAAAAATGTTTAATTGATATGTATTAAAATAATTCTGATATTCTTTACATACACATATAATGTTCGAGCACTATTATTGTGTATTAAGAGAAAAAAAAAACTTACTAACTTCTTTTAAAGACAATAACATCGTCATACAACAACAATTTTAGAAAAGAGATTATGATATTCTCGTGTCGATGGTTCTCGTTATTGGATGGTTAACTTAATCGGACGATCCTGTGCATGCACATCAATGCAAAAGCCACGAACTGCGTGTAGAAACGAGAGGAGGCAACTACTACTCGCGATCGATCCTGCTCTCGTATCTAGTGCAGAAAATAATTGTTGGCCATGAAAATCATGTGCTCTCTGTACATCGTTTATCATTTATATTTGTCGCGCGGAAATGACAAAATGGTAAACGAAAGGATACGAAACGGAATTGAAGTGAAAATCAAAAGCGTCAGTGCGCTTAAGAATATTAAAATAATAAGTTAATGTAGTAAAATAAAAGAAAAAGGAGGTATACGTATTTTTTTTTAAATATATAATTCAAATTTTGAATTAGAAATTTCAAATTATTTTACATTGTTTGTATAAAAGATTCTAAGATAAATTATATCGCTTTCAACAATAAATACGTATATTCCCATAATAATAAATAGTAATAAAAAGATAATAGCAGTCGTCGCTAGATACGCAATTACGCAATGTCAAAAATTAAAATTATCTTACACATTATGTTACAATAATTTAAACGGCATGTACATATTATATTACAATAATTTAAACAGCCTTAAATTACTATTTATCATTATTCTAAATATAAGGAATCCATTAATTTATTATCTTTTTATTGTTTAAATTTATTTATATATATTCTCATAATTACATTAAAATATGACAATATATAATTAATATTGAATCCGACCATCTTTAATCATGTCAAATGTCGGAGGTGACTCATGAAATATATATAAGATATAAGGTTGCGCAATGAATTTGATATTCACGAATATATGTGACGATATTCTCTAAAGAATATTTCTTGTCTTTGACACGCTGTAATAATGATCAATTTAAATTAATCATTTCGTATAGCTTAAATTATCACGATATCTAGTTCTCGTCTGGCGCGTGTACTATTGTTAGTTAGCAGCAGCGATGATGCTCTATTATAAATCTCTTCACAAATCTTTTGCAATTCGATACAATCTTGCGCAATGAGAAACGTTAATAGAGAACATTGGAAAGCATTCCTGTCCGGTTACATAATCTGATGCAGGTCGTAATTCGGCTTGTGCACGACTCCGAAACGCATTGCGTAATTTCATCGTGTGAGAATCTCGCGAACGTTAATGAGAAGAGGACCCGGGTGTTTCCATTATCTGTATGTGTGTATATATTACCGCAGAATGTAACAACATTTTCGCGTATCGCTTGATAACTCATACAACTGTCGCCCATGAAAGAGTGAATAACGTTGTTCCGTTAAAACTCATGACGAGCTCGTTAAGAGTAGAATTCGCAATTCTCGTGCATTGATACTACTACCACACCTGTTTAATAACAATTGAGTATACAACGCCCGTATATAAATTTTTCACATATTTTCGTTGCGATTGTCTAATCTTTAAGGTCATTTTAGACAATGTATAATTCGTGACCAAATTCGGAAGAGAATTCTATTTATAATTTTGCATGTATATAACATAGAAAACATTTAAAAAAGTAAAATACATATAGAAATTATACATTACTAATTTATATTTTCTATATGTACATATCTTATTTCTTCCAATGTTTTCTACATTACACAATACATAATATTATAAATAGAATTTTGTCCCAAATTTGGTCGTGAATTATAGATCGTTTAAAACAGCTTCAGCGTAAGAAATTACATTAATTAAAATTAATTCTTAATCAATTATCATATTAATCAATTATTACTAGGAGAAAAGAATTTATATAGATAGATAAGTATAATAGAGTATTCTTTGTAATCATTATTGTTCCATTACACATAAAAAATGTGAAGAAAGAATTATTGCAAAATCGAAAGAAGAAAAACTTGGATATGATTGTATCTAGTAATATAAAAAAGGGTACCTGAAATAAGATTTATTTTTAAGATTAAGTTATTAATCACTCACGAACAAAATAAATAGTTATTAAACAATACTGACGTCTGTATCGTTACACGTATTTCAAATTTATAAAATTATATGCTACGATAATAATGTAACAATATAAATAATAAAATAAGTTATGATATTTATAGTTTATATTTCACATGCCATCATACTTCGTGTTTTATATCTAAATCAAATTACACGCAAAATTTCTTCTGACAATAAAGTTTGCGAATAAGCATTTATACTGGCTTACTTGAAAACTGCAGATAGCTTTATTTTAAAAACCCCACATCGTCTGAGTTTCTGAACGCATTTGTTAATTTACTGATGCACATCATTTTACGTCATGGTAGTAAACAGCAGATAGATATCGTGAAATTGAAGTTTTTATAGGTGGCAACGTTACAGCCGCGTTACAATGTTATCCAGCAGCGTTGGAACAAATGCTCGAATGAAATTGGTAGACGTCCTTATATGCAATCCTGTTCCGTGGTAGGAGTCGAAGGTTCGAGTTTTCTCGTTCGAAAAAAAAGTATATTGTTATTTATAGATGTGAATAGACGAGAAAGACAAAAACCAAAGTAGAAATTACATAGCTTGAACAAAGGCTGTCTGAAATCTACGCATCCCCCTCGGACAGATATCGAGTGGCATTAATGGCATCTTGACGATAATGTAATGGGATCTTACCTATTGCGGAATATAGGGCCGCTATTATTTTCATAATTTCGTATATAAGGAATGGATGTTGGAGACAAATCTTCAGTATACGGTGATGGCTCGTGCGAGACGTGTCCTGGGAAGGATGAAAGTCCTTATTCTCTGTGTAAGCATCAGACATGTATTGATAGATACAGTTATTACGTAATTTATTAAATCATATGTACGTACGAAAAAATCAATTGTATTGTTACAAAAATTCCATCATTAAAATTTGTTCGTATAGAAGAAAAAATGAGATGTTGTCGTTAAAAATTAAAATTAGATGTAAAATTTCGACAGAAGAATACTACACACGTGATAATATAAATAAATCATCAGTGCATATTGATATATTATTTCAATTATAACACGTTGATCAATGACTGACCAAATCAGGTAATGATCTATGGTTTGTCGGCGGAGAGTACAGAGGAAGTCTTATCACTTGGCCGATGGAAGGAGCAGGTTATTGCGCCGGAGTTTCTGTTGAACAGTCGCGAGGATATTTCAGAGAGCAGTCGGGACGCGTTCCTCTTTGAGGACAACTTCCGTCCCAAGGGACTCAATGAGATCAAACGAATCACCAACACCGAGAATGTCGGCATCCGTTTGCAGCCGCGTCTCGTAACGAGAGTATGTTTGCACAATTCCTAAGAATTTCTCTCTCGTAAACTTCTTTTGCGAACAAGTAACATTATACAATGCTGTACGATATGTTATATGTTTTAGTCAAGTTTAGATTACAAATTCATCGAGGAGATTGAATATTTACTTCCATCGTGACACTTTATTCAATTAAAACTGTTTGTTTAAATAATTTAGTAGGAAAGAAAAGTGGAGTACACAAAAATATATTTTTTTAATACAAGCTGCCAGTTAAAAGTATAAATCTTTCATAATATTATACTTCCGTATAACGACGTTTCTATAAGGAAAGATTATTAAAGTGTATAGTAATTATTTTCATAATTATTTTCTAAGTGAAACGCGCACGTGCATGCCGATATTATAATGATAAAGGTCACCCAGATTATTTAGAAATGACAGCTGCAAATAATGATTTTTTTTAGTTCTTTGCTGGATGGAAAATTACATTTACTTTTCCGATAACAATATAACATACGTTTAAATGCGTGACAATCCGAATTTCACAAGAGTGATAAAATGTTTTTTTTTTCTGTCACGTTATTTATTTATTTTAGCTTTGTAAATCGCTTTGCAATTGTGTAGTGGCAATGATAAAACAACTGTCAACTAAATGAAAGACAACGTTTGGTACACGCATACGCACGCACGCACGCACGTTTGCAAAATAAAATAAATGAAGAAATTTGCAATACATATAAACAATACATATAAAAATGTAATATCAAGACTACATCTTATTTTATGGAATAGTAAAATTTGATGTAATAAGTTGACTCAAAATATCGGTGCTAATTTGAGATTGATCTTCTAAATATGATAATTTCAAAACATAATACAAATTCGCGTCAATTACAAAAACTGTCTTAGTGCATAAAAGTATCATCCAAAATGTATCTAAATAGGTACCAGGAAAAAAAGTACTTTAGTACAATTCCTAAGTATGTAATATTTGTATCTAGTTACAGTACTTAGATACTTTTACTGTACAACACTGAGTAACTGATACTTAATGCTGCCAATATCATCCGCGAAATTCCAAATATTTTTTAACAATTCCAAATAATAATTTATTAATTTGTGCTAGAAAGTATCGAAGTCGACGGAGAAATTTTTTATCTTTTGGAAAAACATTAACCCTCCGCGAATCAGATGGGATGTGATATATCCCAGAGTAAGATGAACTTCTAGACTTCTTCAAAAGTATCGCATCCAAGTTACTAGTTTCATGTAACTGGAGAGTGCTTCGTTAGCAACTATATTAAATTATAGTAGGTGCTTGAATTAATTCTCGCTGTTTATATTTAAAATGAAATATAGCATGAGATATTCCACATATAATGCATGTTGATTTTCCATCTAATTCTTGGAGGGTTAAATAGAATAACGAACATTAAACAGCATTTACTACGATTCATGTTTTTTTACTTCAATACCTCGTAACTCCGAAACTGTTTAGAATCAAACATATGTTTATTAAACATTTTCGAATTATTTCCATGTGCTGAAGCCGCACTCTGTACAGAAATTTAGTTTGTTGAAAATTTAAAAATAAACTCATTACAAGAGCTATCAAACGAACGATAAACACATTATGTATACAACATCGCTTCATATATTTAATTAATTAAATTCATCACGAAGGACTGTTATCTCGATTTTTTTTTCGTATGGCATCCCACTGTTTGCGTGTATGATATTCAAAACATGTTTATAATACAGAACAGAAAATATAATTTAACTCGACAAATTAGTTTGAGTTGATTTTTCAGTGTGTAAATTTCCGTATTAATTAACATATGCGTTACATGTATAAGATCACTTGATACGTAAACGTTTATTCGCAGTCTTTGCAATGCACCTGCGAAACGCAATACGAAATAAGAGATCTGGGCGATGGACATTATCCAAGATACTTGACAACGTCGAGTTGTGTGCCGAAAGCCTGCCTGAGCAAGTTCAATTCCTGCCGACTGCTGCATTATATAGTAAGATAGCGTGACAATCGATAATTTATAGTATGTAGGAAGTAGTAGATTACTCGTCGTCTGTAGGTGTGCCCGAGCGGTTGTCGAGTACTGTACAAGTATACATAACTTTAATTAGCGCCGACCGCGTAAACTCTCAGCTTATTGACCAGACGTCCCATTGCCATTCGCATAAACATTGTTATTCACCGAAGTAGTAAGTCGCGCCGAGCACCGCCTTAATTGCGATATCGAATAGATTTGCATGCTACAATTAGATTCGTTTAATTACGCTTTGCGCGTTCGATGTAACACACTTTGATTATATAATTAATCTTTGATTATTATTAGCATAGAATGTATTACATAGAATGTAGATTACAATGAAAAAAAAACATAAAAATAACAACACGTATTATTTTCTATAGTCTTTATTTATATCCATCGGAGATAGGAGAAAAAGTTAGGAAAGATGTGACGATATTTAAGTAAATGTACCAATGTTTGGACACGTACACACGAAAACATAAATGCCTAGTCATGTCTTTTTATGCCTTCTCAGTCCTTCTCAAGCCTCATTTATTCTTATGTCTTCTTTGTTTTGTACGCAACTTCTTAAAAATTACTCGTCCACAACGACACGTGTTCATAATCATTCATATTTACAGGAAATGTAACTGAAACCATTAATATCGATAATTAATTAATCCATACGCAGTTGATGTCCTTGTTATATTCATTCGTAATAAGAATTTATCTGTCGACCAAGCTTAATTAATAGCATTAATTTACATGTGCAATTACTCATCCGAGACTTGTTATACAGCAATGATATATTAACAGAACAATATGGCATGTTATAATAACTATCAACCAGTTCTTAATAGGGGAGATCGGAGCTGGTTGGCATAAGAAGTTTGCACTGCGTTCCGTTTATATATTTATGACGAAAGAAACAATGGAAATATTACCGCAAAGTATTCTTTTATAGCTAACAGCTAACATAGATACTTTCTTCTAAGTTTCATTAAATTAAAATATTACAATAGAAAAGGGAAAAATCTGAATCAAGAAGAAAGTAAATAAATTTGTGAGCATTTCATAAAAATTATTAGATTATATTTTTTTGTCAAATTTAATTGTCTTTAAACGTTTAGTAATTAACGGCTAATATTAAAGTATATATACAGAACGTATATTCTTCTGAACATTAAATAAATTAAATGATAGTAATTAAATATTTCGTTATTTCTATACAGGTTTACGTGTTGAGTCAACGTGAATTGAGCGAGTTAAATGATGACCGTTATTCACACGATAGTGATCTTCAGGAAACACCACTTCCGGAAGCTCTCCGTCATAAGTGGCAACTGAAGCCAATGAAAATTCCGGTTGCGTGTGTGTCGATGACAGGATAGAAGAAATAATGTATGACCAACTCGGACGTACCAAGAGAAGATAGAATTTATTAGCGGCTTCCATCGATCGTTTTAAAGATTGTTAAGTATTTGATGAATAGATACAAAATATTGAATTTTATGTTTCTGCTTGCAATACCTACTTGGCAAAATTTGAAATATAAAAGTAATAAATAAATAACTGAACTGAATTTCAATGGTGTAATTTTCATTTTTTTTTATCTTAAAATATCAACCTTTTTTTAGAGAATTTTCTACATATCTTTCCTATTAAAAATTAATGGCAAAAAGAAATTCATCAGGAATGTAATTAATCATAATTTAATTTAAGAGAGAAGAGAGAGAGAGAGAGAGAGAAAGATCGGAAATTAATTTATATATTTTCATGTTACACCAAATTTATAATATCGAAAAAATTTTTTTTTATATATCCAATCGATAGAAAATTTAATTTCTTACAAAAAAGTTCTCTTAACATTTTTTCATATTTTACATCATTTTCGAGATATATTAAAAATAATAAAAAAATGACACTTTTTATTAATATCTCCGACACGCACCACTTAATTTAACAGCATTTTTCTTTTTTTAACTTATTTACATGTCAAATGATCATATGAATCAATAAAATTGCACCAAAGAATTAATTCCGAATAATATAATAGTTGTTTTTCAGCTCCAGGCAATAGCCTAATTAGGCACGTAATATAATTTAAAAGGCAAGATCGTCCACTCAGGTCTCGCACCAAAAGATATGATAAAAAACTCGTCTTTTCAATTTTGTTTTACGCCTAGAATTACCGGAGTAATCAATGGTGTGAATAAAACTGGGCGTAATGAAATCTGCGACACAGGGATCCAATTCCGTGCAATAAATCGTGCTGTAAAATAACCGATTAAAAAAAGACTCTTGAACGCTTTAATGGCAGGCCTTTACCGCCTGATTTAATTTTTAGCTATACTACGTTGTATTTTACGGCACGTTTTTGTCGCCTCTCATAATTCTGATTTCCTCACTTATATGTAAGAATTGTTCTAAAATTACACATTCGTAATTCTAATATCACGAGTACGTATTATCAGTAAAGAAAACTTTTACGTATATAAAGAATTATTTTATTATATAACTCACATTTTTCTATTGAGGGAATCCTAAAGATGACGATTAGTGTAAGTAAGACTTACAGATGATTTACGTCTCATTGACACATCATTACATACTATTACATACTACTACATATGTGTACATACACATAAATTTCGTCTAACAATAACGTTTTAATTAGACGTCTAAGTCCAATTCTAAGAACTTTACGTTATTTCTTCGTAAAAAACTGCGGATTATTATTTCGTAAATACTTTTATATAAAGCAAATGTTGTCACGATATAATAATTCTAGAGCGCCATATAGGACTAAGAAATGAAAAAAGAGATCTCAATTTCGAAATTTTTTTATCGTTCTCGACATAAACTCCATCTCACAGACATGTATTAATGTATATAATTTAATCTTGGGAAAGGATTTTCGAATTTGTAAAAGAGGGAAAAAGTAATCCTTATACAAAAATTATACGGTTGGTTCGTAATACAGACGGCTTTAAGATCCCCTTAACTTATATATCTTCTACTTACATCTACATACACAATATTATACACATATTGTATATGTATATAATACACTAATTGAATACCATCGCTTATTTCATACAACATGTCATTATATAAAAATATAGTCCATATTAATAAATCTTTTACACAAATTATATCATACAGAAGTACGAATGCAAACAGAAATTTTTTTAAATAATAGACTGAAATAACAATTACTAATTATTATTACTATTTTTTAAGCGATTAATATAATTAATTAAAGAGGTGGAAATATTTAAAAAATCGTTTAGTCTTTTGCATGTTTAGGTAGTATAATTCTTTAAGAAAGTATTTTCTTGTGTTTTTTATTAAAGTATAATCTGACGTAAAAGAAGAAGAAGAAGAAGAAGAAGAAGAAGAAGAAGAATATAGCATAAGAGTATTTTCTTGTTTTTTTTTATTAAAGTAAAAAATACAATATGTTAAAATTAGAGGAACAGTAAAAGTGAGTAGAACCTATGCGGCGAAATAAAGATAATTTCGTTACGGCGTAGAGCTATAAATAGCAAATAAAACTAAAGTACTAGAGAAATCGCACTTCATAATTTTGTTTGAGATGCAATAAAGTCGATCTTTTATGCTCTTTCTAAGAATAAATTGCACCGGACAATTAAAATGCTAACGAAAGATTTTATTCAACTGTGTGGAAAATGGTTCGAAAAGATTCCTTCAATAGAATTAAATTGAATATTTAATTGTTATTACTATGTATATGGCTAAAGCAATATTTAATAATGCAAAAACACATTGGCTTGATATGTCGATTTTTTTATCAATAGAAAGTGAATCTTATGCTGTTGAAATTGTCACACAATAAATAACTGCAAAAAAAAGTGGAGATTAATCGAGTTTTCGCATATTTAAATCTTTCTGTCCTTCTTTTTAAAATTGTATTGATACTGAGTTAATCTCATGTCAAAATATAAAGTAGAGATAGATAGTAATAAAATTATAGAAAATATAAATAATATGGAATTGATTATAAATATGCTTTTATACAGCACAGATTATTTCATCAATATTGCAGTTACATTGCAACGTTGTAGTAATGTTGTAAGCTTCTATACTATAGGTATAGGTTGTAAAAAATTAAAAACAAATGATCTTGTAATTTAATGAAACAAATTTTAAATTTCCATAAAATCTCTGCAGGTAATTTGTCCCTTGCGAATAAAGATCTACATAAAACATAAATTGTTAATCGCAAGCTTGTTACATCAGTCAATCCGATACGTCAATTTTAAAAGTGACATTTCAAGATTGGGACGTAACAAGCTTACAACTTGCGACTCGTGTTCCATTTCACGCGTATTTACATATGTATATATATCATCCAATCATAGAATTCCTATAAGAATTCGTAGAAATGCAACACAAGTTTCTCTTTGCAGATCCTCGAGTATTCTCAACAACAAACGTTTCTTACTATAAAAGAGCAATTGATGTATCCTTGAGATTAAAGGCATTCGAGTTACACAGAATATTATGTGTTCCATGAATATTACTTAGATGAATAACTTCTCTTTACGCGAATGTTCGAACGTTAGAAATAAATTACTCTTGTGAACTTTCTGAAGCCGTTTTGCCATTTCCATTTTGAAACAAACTATGATATCGAATTAGAATATTACAATATTATAAAAATATAATTAATATTATAATAGAATATTATAATATTAATTATACTTTTTTTTTAATAATATCAACATAATATAATTTTATAATAAAATATAAAATTTTATAATATAAAATATTATACGAGAATAATGAAATTAAATCTCAATTTAAATATAATACATTGTAAAACATAAAGGTGTATCAGGTCTGTCTAATTTTAGCTCCGAAGCCAAAACGCAAAGCCATCGACGATAAAAAAAATGAATGTGGGTAAGATTTCGGAAACTGTAAAGTGATATACATCTGAGTGACGCTTACATATGCAATGTATATTATTTATTGAGTTTTATATTATATAAGATAATAAAGATAAATTGAAAAATAAAACAATTTCAAGTGCAAAATGTAGTCCTAAGGTGCCCCAGAAATACATCAACCTTCGCATATATTTCTCTTACTGTCACATTTTTTTATTTTTTAAACATTTTCACAGCGCTTTCTAATTAACATGTGTTAGCCGAGGTAATATTTTTCGCAATAAATAAATTTATTTACAGATTTCCATCTATTAAGAGATTAAGATCTCTATTGAGCATCGAAGTTTCATTGTAATATTACTACAGTAGCTTAGCTACGTTTCTAAGTCCAAAAAAATTAATGTATATACAAATGTATAGTATATACAAATTTATATGGAATCATTTGAGCATTAAAGATTCAGCTTCGACCATTATGGTCTTTATTTCCGATTGTATTTTTACATGTACAGTCCTAAAAGATTCTTATTATTTTTTTCTAATTAAGTTTAAAATAGGTCACCTTTCTCGTGCCGTATTGAATCTGTTCATCAAAGCATCAAGCTTGATAAAAGCACTCACTCAAGCGTTTTAGACGAATCTAGTTTGTGCGCTTTTGAAAGCCACTATATTATACACGCCTATAAATCCAAGCAAAAATACAAGCTATATCCATAAAAACGACAAGCTACCGAACCTGTGGGTGTGCCCACAGCACATTACGCACCGTAGTGTATATTCGCGTACACGAAAAACCAATATTGCTACTCGAGCAAGACGATTAAAGTTCGTCTTGAAAGCCAGCACAAAGCTGAATGCACTCCTAATTTCGTTAGGTACGTGTACGTTGTTACAACGACTAGTTATACCACTTAATAATGACCTCACGTACGAGGACACATCTTCAAGTATAAGTTTCAATAAACGATTATTGTAAGGAAGAATTAATTATTGTTACCAAATATTGTTAACCGTACAAAATTATCTTTGTAAGCACACACACATCGCAATTAATACTTTTTAAATTGCATTCCATTAAAAATTGAGTTTCTCAAAAAATGTGAGTTTTATTATTACAAAATGGTAAATACAATTTTATTTTCCACTTATTAATTCAAAAGTTTTAAAAAGCGTTTTACTTTGTGTTGTGACAAACAGACACAAAGTTTTACTAAAAAAAGTGATTTTAAAATAATTGTAAATTAAAAGTAACAAATTAGACTCTATAAAACATTTACATAAAATTTGTTTACTAAAATATGAAAGCTTAAATTTTAATTGCTTTTATTTATTCATAAATGTCTCTTTTACTGCATGAATATTTTTCATGTAAAAATCTAGCGCTAGTATCTCCGAAAAAGAATTGTAATTGTTTATTTCGATGGATTCGTGCAACGTATTGCGACGTCAAATGATTCTCAAATGACTCTTTTCTGCACGAGAGTTTCGAAAAATAAAAAAATAAAAATGATCAAGTACACGCGTGATCCCCTCACAGTAAAGCCATCTTTCGCAATAGTGCACGCGCATCACAGTACAATTTTTCAAACTTTACAGAAAATTTATTCCGGCCGATTGCGACTGTGCCAACAGTTCCGTCATGTCGCATAAATTACACGTGCATTCG